AATAAACTTGACTTTTAGATAGTCATTTTTTGCTCGGGTCTATTTATTTCATTATCATTGCAAAAAATCACACAAAAGATGTGAAGATTACTTGGAGGCGACGAATGTTGACAGGGTTCACTCCAGCCAGCATTTCCCTTGCAAATTCTTCATCAGTCCTCCAAGCAGACTTATCCTCTTCGCCAAACCAAAGCATCAGAGTTAGAACTTAGACCAAAGAAAATAGTGCTTTATTTTGTGGGCCATTGTTTGTAAACCTCTAAGTTCAAAATATTGTCGTTACCTTTGATCACTTGAGGCATTGGGAATTTGAGCAACTTTGCATCATCAGTTCGGAAGATCTCCTTGAACAACTCCGAGGGGATGCTGTCTCCAATATGCTTTAATAAACCTTCAGGCAATGGAATGCCTACTTCGTAGAGTTTAAGTACATCTTCAAAGCTGTCAAACTCATTAGGAGTTTGATCAAGCAAGGATTCTAGCTCCGGTTTAATGAACTGAGCTATGGATTTCAGGGCATAAACCAGGAAGTCTGACAACTTCAAGTGGCCAAATCGTTCATCCCTTGGCACATAGATGTTTAAGCTCTCAGCAAGCGGCAGACGACTCTCGCTTTTTTCATCTGTTGCAATAAGATCAGAAAAATTAGTGATCATAACATCTCCAGTTCATTAAAATCCAAATTAGTATATCGAGTCTTACTTTTTGGTAAACATTAACACTAAGGATAGTCATCATTAATCGAAAACTAGATTAACTATGGTAACTCTAAAATAAAAGAGTAGTATTTACAAATGGCTAACCTGTCTTAGTTTTTTGTCGGCCAGTTCTTCCACGGCGAGGGTAAGGGTACTCACTAGACCCTCCAAGAATAGGACGGACATATTTGGCACCCTTATCAGGATTCCCCAAATCGTTGTAGCAATCATAGTCATAAACCCTGTCCCATTCTTGGAGCTCTCCTTTTCCTTTTTCATCATCTCCTCTCAAATGTACTAGTTCTTCTTCTCTGTATTTGCGCAACGGCAGTGGTGTTTCACTTGGAAGATAAGTCTGCACAACATATAGCAGGCATGAGCTTTTACCATATATTTTAAACCTCACAAAAAAAAAATTACAGCAGACACTAATGAAACGTTCAAATCATTCGTTACCTTGTTGGTGAAGAAAACACGGTCTTTGGTGTATTTTTCCGTAGGGTACACCCAAGAGTTGCAAACGAAGTGTAGACGGTCCTCACCGGGAACATTTTCGAGAGTGACAGTCTTGAGGAAGAACTCACTGTGGTGATTATTTTTTATTAAGATTGCTCCTGGAACTCCTACTTCCTCTTCATGGTCAAATGTAACCTCGAATGCAGACTCTCCCGGTGTTAAAGATGTGATGGTGGTAATCCAATCTTCCAAGTATGCTGGCTTTCCAAGTTTCCCCTTCATTTCCTACAAAAACACATCTATTATTTAGTCATAAAATAATTATCATTCAAGAAAGTATACCAAGTTCAAAAAAATACTTCTATATATTAACTCAAAAAAATCAAATCATAATTATCATTCAAGAAAATATACCAAGTTCATGCTCAAGTTCTACTTTCATCTTTTATAATGCAATATTACAAACTACTTTGATGTACAAAGAGTGGAATTTGAACTCGACTGAAAAGGAATTAGCACACTCTCATGTACAACTGGCTTAACTCGCTCAAGTTTTGTTATGAACAAATCTGAAGTTGTTTCTTCAGAATAATCAAGGAAAAAAAAAGGAATTGGATGTGGTAAAAAGTGAGAAACCGTAGTAAAAAAAGGGTTTGAAAGCCATCTCCAGTTGAATGGTGCTTCATTTTCAGGTTAAACTGATGGCTTAGACAGGTATTTGGCTGTAAAAGGTAAGAATTTACCCGTCTAATCAGTCAATGACATGACCACTAAGAAAAACAACAAAGGGAATGGCTAATGACCATAATTTAGAAATCATGATCATATTTTTCACAAGCTTAATTAGGTCAATTTTTGAACTTAACCAATACCAGTTTTCTAATCCTACTTATCAAGTTATCATGACATAATCACAACCAGACTAATTAGTCCATATCATAGAGCCCTACCCACCCCACCCAAAAAAAAAAAAAAAAAAAATATATATATATTTATTTATATAGCTCCTCATGTTGTGCACCATTAATATTTAATTCTAATTTTTGTTAAGGTATATTGTCTATATTGTCTATAGTACCTCTAAAGACCCCTCTATAAGTTCTACCATATACGTTTTGGTTGCAACTCATACTCGAATTAGACCTAGTTGCATTTTAATTAAGAGTAATGTGTAGATTTAATCCTTAAATTATTATGCGAGTGAAAATTAGGTCCTTAAATATTTTTGGGGTTCTAAAAGCACTCGAAGGAAGCACATCAAGTGTTTTTTTTTTTCAGAATTTACTTGCATTCTTATTAAGAATTGAATCCAAAAATATTTTTACCATAAGTGCTTTCAACCATTTTAAAAGCACTTCCAAATGAGTCATAATTTTGATTTTTGTTAAGATATATTGACTGTAGTGCCCTTAATATTAAGAGTTGTGCATATTTAGTCCCTAAATTATTATCCGTGTGAAAATTAGGTCCCTAAACAATTCTGAAAGAAAATCCTTAAACTAGTTAAAATCTGCTAATTAAATCCCTAATATTAGATTCAAATGTATTCTATCCAACTTTTTGAGTCGCGCAACTTGCATGTGATATACTTTGGAAGATAGATTGATAGTTTTCCAAGCCTGTAGTTTACTTTGGAGAGTAAATTAGAAATTAGATTTACAACCAATATGCAACGTTATGGATGGTAGGAAAGAAAATGATGGTATTACCCTCTAAAATAAGTCACATGCAAGTCACGTGACTTAGTTGATGAAAAATTTAATAGAATAGCTTTGGATTATATAGTAGGGATAAAATTAACAGTTTTTGATGAATTTAAGAACTTATTTTATTAAAAAAAAGTTTATAATGTTCCTACTGTACTTTAAGCATATGATCTATTTTCATAATCCAAATTTATGATTTGGTCCCCCTTCATGCCTAAATAGGACTCATGAGTGGAAGCAGGCTTGGTTGTATTTTTACTCATATTCTAGAACCTAAATATTAAAGGGAAAAAAAGACTAATTTTTGTGACCCAAGTCGTTTACTTTGAAGATGTGTCAGTTTCCATTCCCAGCCAAGTAAAAGGTACAAGAAAAAATTTATAAAAAAATGAATTAAAAAAAAAAGGGTACCCTCTCGAAACAAACTAGAACAGTTGCTATCAGAATTTCATTCCCATATCAATTACAATAATCTTATTTATGCAAAGTTAATCACGACATAATATTTAACATAAGTAAATTTTACAGTTGTATATTACCTACTTGTATTTGAATGTACGTCAGTAATTTGGTCAATTTTGTGTGTTTGAATATCGATTATTCTGAAAAAAAACAAGACAAGTGATTAATCTTGTGATAAATATTGCATCAAGGAAAAAGAAGCAGAAGAAAAATGAAACGATAATCAAGAGCAAAGGCTCAAATCTTAAACCAATCTAAAACAAAACTCAAATGATCTCTAGGCTTGATGAAAGACTCAAATATTCAATTTTCTCCCTAATCATGCATTCTTACCATTTACCATAAAAAACCATAGAAACTATAAACTTTCACTGAAAGAATGAACTCACCGGCATCATCAGCATGAACGGCACTGATGCGCTGCAGGCAAACCCCTTGGCCGATCAACTCATGTGCGCGATCGAGAACCGAAGAGTTGATGTCGTTGAAGTCCAAAAGACTCTTCTTCATCAGCACCACAGTCCCATTGATCTTTCCATGATTTCCATTTTCCTGGTGACCTGCGAGCTTCCCAACAATATTCTGCAGCATTTTGTTCTTCTGTTTTGCTTTATACGAACTAAGCAAAGAACATATGTTATTGCGACTTACAAACCAAAAGAATATATATGTTTTTGTGAATTAAGAAAATAGGTGGGTGCTGAAATGAATCGAAAGTTGAAAGTTGGTAATGGAAGAGTGCAGCAGGGCGCTGTGGTATTTATAGGGAAAACGAAAAGTGAGCATTTTTAGGAGAAGTTTCAGTACATGTTCATCTGCTATGGAGTCGAGATCCTCTCTTTCCGGAGCTCAAGGATCCAGAGATTCGGGCATTGAAGAGAGAGAAAGAAAAATATGAACTCTTAATTTGTATGAGGTGAATCAATAAAATGAACTAATAAGGACCGCGATATTTTAAATGAATGGAGGCACGTTCGAGTTATTATTATTATTTTTATAATTGGTGCCAAGTCATCGGTATTTTTTTTGGAAGAAGTCTAGCACAACTTATCAAAATTACTTGTAGGGATGGCTAAGTGATGGTGACCAAAATCCATTGGATATGATCTTTCAAACAATATATAAAAGATAGACGGTTTGGATCGTTGAAATAATTACAAAGCGAGCTCCATAATGATGTGTGCCAAAAGTTATATAAAAAAAATAGTGTCACGTATCCCTCTCCTATATATATATATATATATATATATATATATATATATATATATATAAAGATAATATTTTTAGACTTTATTTAGGCCTTTAGATTAAACTCGTTTTAATGGTTATGATTGCACTGATCTATCGAATATTTTGAAATAAAAAAATTATAAATATTTTGATTTCTCTCTTTTTATCTCTTAAATACGAAAATAAAACTTTGTCTTTCTGAAAATGTTCTAGTTCATAAATTTTGACATATCCATTAAAGATGATCTAAAAGGGTCGAAACTAAACTACGAACACAAATCTTACCACTATAATCAAAGTTTTCAAAAAAAAAAAAACAAACTACGTTTTCCCTTTCAACAACAACAAAAAAACCTGCGTTTCCCTTTCCACGCTCGTCGTTTTGAAGTCCATCTGCATATGTCACGACTGCCCAAGTCAGCATAACGGAAGAAACAGAATTCCGACCCGAGTCAAAACCTACACTATACGTGGCACTTTCCAAGTCTCCAACAAACACGCTAAACCGTGCTTGCTCGCTCTCTCCCCGCGTCCCAGCAGCTCGATTCCACTTTTCGCGCTCTTCGATTTCTCTCTCTACGAATCCCTAATTTCCAATCCAAAAATTCCAAATCGCACGTATCGATTCAGTTTTTAGGGTTTTTGAATGGATCCCACCGACGCAGCCTCGTCGAATTCCACGGATTCCTCCATCTCCGGTGAGTTAAATCGCACGCAGCTTCTTCAATTCCTTTCATAATTTTCTCTGCAATTACACAATCACATTGTGGGGGTGTGTAATTTTAAATTTTCGGGAAGCAAAAATAATCTGAATTTAATTAATTTATTTTTATAATTTTGTAGCTAATTATGAAAGGGGAAATCAAATGGAAACCGAAGGTTTCAATTTTTGTACGTTTTTAAATAAAATGGAAATCAAACTTTTATGGGTAGGTAAATAAAAACAAAAAGTTTGATTCTTTTAACTCTTTAAATGTTTAATCAAATTCCAATTGAGGAAAGTAGTTTTATTTTTTCCAATTTTCAGATTGAAAATCTGAAGGTTGTCTGTAATCTTTGAATTTCGCAGAACTCCGTTTGAAGCATCACCAGGAACTAGAAAATTTAACGCTTGCAACGCAACCGTTAAAGACATTAAAGTATTTCAATTTGGCTATTGGCCAATATGTTCGGCGTTTTATGGCGAGAGGTGGTTGGTTTCTGCTTCTAATTATGTTAGCAGGAGGTATAGGAGTGATCACTGCGACAGTTGGTGGACCTCAACAAGAGGTATTTACTCGCAGGGCGACATTTTTGTTCAGTTGCATTTAGATTTTTAGTTAGAGTAACCGTTATTTGATTAATATAGTTTGCTTAATATTGTTTGTATGGGTTGTTGGGATAAAGATTTCCCATGAATGTTGCATTATATATACTTTATCGGGCATGTTTATTGCATAATGTTGATGTACTTTTGGACTTTCCTTTATTGATTTTACAATTAATCAAAATGCAGCATATCCGGGAGCTTATTCGTTATCTGCAATTTGGACTCTGGTGGCTGGCTCTTGGTGTAGCATCATCTATTGGTCTTGGTAAGTGTGAGTTATATTCAAACTAGCATGAAAACTGTGAGTTTCGGGTTGATGGATTTGTGCTGTCTCCAAATTCTCGTGTAGAAACATATTTATATTACACACTAAACCAAATGGAGAAGTTGCAATTGATTCTTTTTTTTAAATTCTGTGGTAGCACATTTGTCACAAAACTCTGAATGTTTTTTCTTGTATCACTATTTTGTGCAGGATCTGGTTTGCACACGTTTGTGCTGTATTTGGGGCCTCATGTAGCTCTGTTTACCATGAAAGCCGTGCACTGTGGCAGAGTTGACATAAAAAGTGCCCCATATGACACCATTCAGTGGAGAAGTGGTCCTTCATGGCTGGATAGAGAATGCTCTGAATATGGGACACCCCTATTGTTATCACAGCACGGTTCAAGGGTTCCGCTTAGCAGTATATTGCCTCAGGTTCAGTTAGAGGCCATTCTATGGGGAGTTGGAACTGCACTGGGAAAGCTTCCTCCTTATTTCATATCAAGAGCTGGTGAGTACAAAACAACAAGCTAAGCTCTGTCATCTTTGTATTAAGCAATATCTAGTCAAGAACAACCTGTTAGAAAAACTTCATCTGGTATAATTTTTCACATTATCTATGTTCTTATTTGTATAGATGCATCTTGAGCATATGTGGTTACTTAGTTGCATGTACAAAGATCATAAGATGCCTTAACATTCTACATTTCTAAAGTATAATTTTTTTTTACTTCTTGGGTAGTTCATAATGCTGCCGTTGGTTGAATAGTTTACTATAATTTCAATTTGTGGACATATATCATAGGTACCTTGTTAGCTTTTCTGTCTGGCTATTACTTAATTCAGAACTGTAGGCACTATGATGAAAATTGTGTCTGTGTGCACGCATGTGGCGATGTTCATATTTTACTTACTTCATGGCCCTTTACAAGTCAGGATAATTTTCTGGATTCTTTAATCTGACTGCCTACCGTAAGGATGAGTGAGTTGGATACGTTTGAAATTTTAAACCACTAATTTCTGAATTTCTCCTTATCTATACTTAAGTGCAGCTAGTATATCTGGTCAAAAATTGGAAGTCATGAAAGAATTGGATTCTTCATCAACTGAAGACAGTGGAATGGTAGCTAGTCGCCTCAACCGGATGAAATCATGGCTTCTTTCACATACACAATATCTGAACTTTTTAACTATATTAGTTCTTGCTTCGGTAATTTTTCTTTCTTAATGCTACTGAGTACTTGTACCCGTGGAGTTGCAACGTTCTTTCAACACATGTTGTACTTATCCTTTTTGCAGTGCAGCACTTTTTTATTTTCTTGGCTCTTTTTTTTTAGAAATATTTTTGAGACCTTTAAGGGTGTTTATTCAAAATAAATTTCAGGTGCCCAACCCTCTATTTGACCTTGCTGGGATATTGTGTGGACAATTTGGCATTCGATTTTGGACGTTCTTTCTAGCAACATTGATTGGAAAGGCATTTATTAAGACTCACATACAGGTTTGTGAACTTATAAGATATATCAAATTTTGAAGCCTCTTGATGCCTGCTCGTCCTGGCAGAGGTTTTATCTTGTTATTTTGAGGTGTTTTGCTTCATTTATGATGAGTTCTAAGAACTGTTTTTCTAAAACAATCTGTGCATCACTGATTGGATCCTGCTCGTCCAATCAGATGTTTAAACATTGTTTTGTTTTTATATCTACCGAACATGCTTACCGAGGTTTATAATTTCCTATTTAAAGATTCCTTGCATTTAACAATGCATAACTTTACATAAATTGAGGTGGTTATGTTGCCCTGTAATTGCAGACAGTTTTCATCATCTCAGTTTGCAACAATCAGCTTCTCGACTTGGTAGAAAATAAATTGATTTGGTTGTTCAGCTTTTTCCCTGGATTTGGTTTGTTTGTGCCCAACCTCATCACCAAATTACATACAATGAAAGACAAGTATATACACGCCTCACCTCCAGTCGCCTCTAACAGCGAGGTAGTGTTTTCTGAATTACGGCTTTAGCATCTCTATGTTGTGTTTAAGTTCATTTTCCAACAACAGTGTTTGGGCAGATTTTTGACCGAAAGTGGGGGAATGCAATCTATTGGCCAGTTGGTAAATTGAATTCTGTATCTGTATACACGTTCCTGAACCCGAGGAATTTGGTACTTCTGTTTCGAGTACTTAATAACTGGGCATGCTTGTCCTTAACATATAACTTGTTCACATTTTTTGCTTTCAGGAGAAAAAGTGGGACTTATCCTTTAGTTCGATTTGGAACACTGTTGTGTGGCTCATGCTCATGAACTTTTTCATCAAGATTGTGACGGCAAGTGCACAAAGCGTTCTCAAGGAAGAACATGAAAAGGAGTTGACTGCGTTGTCGAACAATCTGCATACATCCAAACAAAAAAGTATTGCTAGTTGCAGCCAAGCCTCTGATTGAATCTTCCGAAGGCTGTTCCGGTTTGGTTATATTTTTCCTTATCTGGTATTCACGGCATTGGAGTTTAGCGGCAGAATTTTTGTATCTGCCGCGATTATTTCTCCCGTAGCTTCCACCCGTTTATCTCTCTTTCAATTTGTACGTATAAAACATGAAATGAAACATAGGTTAATCCGTAGAAGTATCTACATGTATCATATTTATAGGGGGAAGTTTATCGGCGATTCTTGATCTGACTTTGTATCTTAGAAATCTGCCCATTCTGGGAAATGCAATGGAATAAAATCCATCAAGACATTTTTATGTTTTGCTATTCCATTTCCACCGTCATTTCGTTTATTTTAGTGACATCTAGTCTCTACTTTGTTGGAGGAGATTCTAAGTTCAAATTTCATGAACGATAGTTAATCAAAAAATGAAAAGCGGAACACTATTCTCTATTCAAATCAAGAAGCTTTCTATCAATAACAACACTTTGACAATGTGGATACAATTACAAATCACAACACTTATACACATTTGAAGTCGATTCATTGCCTGATAGAACAAGCATTACAAGTTGAAATTCACTTGGCGAAAGCGCTACTGGCAGAAGCGCTTATGACACAAGCAGTCCCGAACCAGCCCTAAGCAGAGCCGAGGTGGGTGTTGGTCTCCCACCTAAGGTCTTGGGAGAACTGAGAGATTGCAGCTCTTGGATCGCCATCGGCAATGGACAAGTAGTAGCTTGCAGTTGCATCATCCACTCGCAGGCTTCTCCTCAGTGATTCAACCACTCTTTTCTTGCTCTGCAAAACAGAGCACGAAGAGATGCTGCCGCTGTTTATGGTTTTCGGGTCGGGGCCGCCCTCCAAATACAACACAGCCACCTCTCTCTTAGCATAATTATCCACTTCAACATAGCACGTAGCTTCCGAAAGGATCTCCGCATTGCTTACCGGAATCAGCAATCTCTCCCGAGAGTATATTCCGTGCTCACTCATCATGTTGTTCAATCGTTTTATGTCCATCACCTGAAAGAAATTGTAGAACTTATGTGCTTCAAAGCACTTCCAACTGCTCTTCCAAAAAGCACTTTCAACAAAAATTTCGACTTTTGTTCTTTTATAGAAGCACTTCTATGTAATGTTTTCTACCTAAGGAGTCCCAAACTGGTCTAAAAGTGTTTTCCATTTTCATTTTTCTCGGCAACCAAACAGACGATAAGAATTAAGAACCAAAATGCTTGCGTACCTGAACGGAATACTTGACGGCGAGGCTGGCGACGCTGTCCCCGCGGACAATCCGGTGCGAGATGGCGAATTTTCCGATCGAATTGTCCCTCCAGAAGCTTGAAGACGCCGGCTTTCCGATCACCTCCTTCAGATTCCAAGGAGCTTTGAAGGCTTTGGCGACGATCTCCTGATCGGAGGCGACGGAGCTCCAGACTCGGCAGACGCAGCTGGAGCGAGCGAGGTCGGGAATTGGGAGCTTCTCGAAGATGAGGCGGAGGGTGTCGCGGCAAGTTAAGGCCGAGAAGTGAGAGTTCATAGGGGATATCGTGGTGGTGGAGTCGGAGGAGTCGCCGAGGGTTGGGGCGGCGGCGTCGGAGTAAAGAGGGTTGACGATGTCGTTGTCGTTTTCTTCGTCCCCGCAGCAACCCATTGTCGTCTGAGAGAGAGAGAGAATTGAGATTAGTTTTGGGCTATAAAACAGAATTAAAAGGCGGGCATCTAACGGTCAACTAACTTGCCCAAAAAACTTGCGGTTTGTCTTGTTTGGGCCATATAAAGAAGTTTTGGGCCACAGAAATATCACCGATTTTTCACCAACAGTCCTCGTATTTTATTCGGATTTTCACTTTTCTCTCATCTACTTTTTTTTTCTTATCATATTCGTCTTCATAGTTTCGTTTTGTTTCTAATCCACCAACTTAAGTTTTCGATTGAAAATATTAATTTCTTCTTATAAAGTTCCAAGTAAATACTTGGTCCCTGCTCTGTTTTGATTGTGTTGTTTGAACAAAGTTAATTTCACTTTGACCAAAAAAAAAAGAGGTTAATTGCACATAATTTTCACAATTTAAATCTTTGTAATTAGTCAAATATGACAGTACATCGAAAATAATTTGATATTATTTGAGGATAAATTGGTCTTTCTAGCAATATAAAATAAGGAAAACTAATGAAAAAGGCTTGAAAACTTTGAGTTTAATGATAAGGACAAAATAAAGGGTAAAGTGAATAGTACCAGGATTGACTTTTTAGTGAAAAAATGTGGTTTTTCGTTAAAGTGAACAGTACCGGATGCTTTTCGTTAAAGTTCCCTATAAAATATCATGCATATACCTGGCAAGTCAATTATACTTTAAATGTGAAACAATTTATGGCAGCAAATGATTTTACTTCAATAAGACATACTTATAATTAGTCTTATTTGTTTTAAGAATTTTTCTTTGGACAACATTAGTTTTCTCTCCGTGTGAGAGCTCTCTCTGAGTGAGAGCTTTTCTCACTGTGAGTGTTTCAATTTCTCCCCGATTGTTCTACCATTGGTGTCAGTGGTTCCACTGACGTCCTCTCCGATTTTCTACCAATTGTGGCGGCAGATTGGTTCTGTGTGGAGTTCAATTGATGACGACGACGTTTGCTTCTCTTTTTGACGTTGGGACTTGGTTGGTTTTCACCTTTGGCGTATGATGGGATGCTGGTTCGTTGTCGACGGAGCATGCTTTAGCGGTGGCCGGGGAACCATGCAACTAGGGGTTTTCAGTTTGTTATGTGCTTTTCTTTTTCAGGCTCAACCCTTGAGTTGGATTGTTGTTGTGCTGGGCCATCTTTTGTTTGTGTTAGTTGTGTTTTTGAGCTTTTGTTTTTTTAAGTTGTTGGTAATGAAAATTTACCTTTTATCGAAAAAGGAAAAAAAATCTTCCTTTGCCCATTTTATAAAATGGAGGAAATTCTAAATGGGGAAAATGGGAATGCCAAAGGGAAATTATATGGGAGAAAGTGGACTTAATGCAAGACAAGGTGTATATCTGCAAAAAATAATACTTATGTTCCCCCATTGGGAATACACATACGTCACATTTTACAGATAACACATCTTCATCGTATAACTCCATAATCGGAACTGTTGAACTTCTTAATCTTCATTTTAAAATCATTCCTACAAAAAATTATCCGAATCGAATGTCGTTTAGTCATCCAAATGTATTAAATAAATGAACAATTCATCTTGAATATGTTACTTACTAGTACTACGGCAATTTCTTCCATACATTTCGAAGACTAAATGATCTCTGATTAGAATGAATTTTTGTAAAAATGATCTTCAAATAAATACTAAGAAGTTGAACGATAGAAATTTATGTAATGAATATACATTATCAGAAGTGGAAGAATGAGAGGTCTCACACTCCTACTACGTATATAAATACAGAAGTATCATATATATTTTTTTTTTTGGTAAAAAGAAGTATCATATTTGATCACAGATATCAACCAGCTTCCTTTCTTAAATTCAGAATACAAAATACAATACATCACAAACTTAAAAGATTCAGCAGAACAAACGTCTTCATCGAGGAATATTGTACAAACAAACAACAAAGCCTTATCCCACTAAATGGGGTCGGCTGATTCAGGAAAATTTCCGAGCGTTGATGGCAGAGCAAATGGATTAATCCAGTGGCCTGAATCTACTTTCTACCTCAACCGCATGGTGACTTGGGAAAAAGTTGAAAACACAATAAAACTCATCAACTTGCCAATCCATGGCTATGGCCAAGACCGTACGCATCAGGATAACTAGCTCCATGACTATGATGGTGGTCATGCCCGTCACCATGGTCATGGTGATGATGGTCGCTGCCTTTTGCTTCATCGAGCATTTTCTGAATATGCTCGGGGATCGGCTCTTCTTCAACCTTTCTGACAGTTGCAGGCAATGAGGACACAAAATAAGAAATATTTTCAGCTACCTCATCAGCTGCGTCCTCCTGCATCAACCAAATAAATAGAACAGCTCATTAGAACTTCCACAACCGACGATGAGAAGACCTTGAAACAGAGTGATTTCTTGAACTACATGCCATATTGTTCAACACAGGACGAAGTTGGTCCGTAAAAATGGAAAGTAAAATCAAACTCCTTTGCATAAAGTAGGCAAAATCATCAAGTATTTTGATTTCACTAACAACATTGTCCCAATACACTAGGTATCCTGACCTATCGACTACAACATTGGTAAGATAGGTATAAATCCTTCCACAAACCGCTTAACAACTACATGTTCAAGCAGGAACTATCCGGTTGTATTGATTCGGCTGGCTGTCCAAGAGCTAGCCTCCTCAACCCAGCAACCGATGCTCTTTGTGAATATACCATTATATCGTAATCTTTTACAGCAATTTTAAGTCATAAATTTCACAACCAAACAGGGACAGTGTTTTGTGTTGTCTTGTGTCCCCTGGAAACAAGTTTAATCGCTAAATAAGTTCCATAATTTCCAACATATAGAATTTTTAACAGTATTATTCCAAGGAAACCAAGACATAGGCAAACGTATCCTAAATATTGAGATTTTTAGCCTTGTCACATACAAGAAAAACAAGCAGTAGTTCATGAATATATCGAATCCTCACCTGAGGCCACCGCCCACCGGAATGGGTGACAAAAGTTGCCTGTGGAAGTGCACTTGCAACACGGTTTCCCTCTTCACTCCATTCCTTGGACCAACTGCTAGACCAAAGCACCTGCATTGGCACACCTTTCAATCCATCCGAACCCCCCCATTCTGCTATATCAAAGCTATGATTCAACTTCTTTCCCATCCCAACAATGGCCCTCGTCCCATCCCTACCCTTCAACAGAAGTCTATGTGCATCGACATCCGAAACATCAATCCCCCTTGAGCAACTCATTTTAACCAACCAAGCATAAGCATGTGAAAACCTCAGCACAAACTCCCTAATCATTGGCACTCCCAAAACCCACAAAGGCAAAGCACCCGTCGATCTGGGTGAGGTATCAATAAGCGTTACACTCCTCACCGATCCCACATTTTCCAAAACCCAATTGGCAACCATCCCCAAAGCTGAATCATGCAACACCAAATGCACAGGAGCTAAACCTGTCGTCTCAATTACTTGCCCCACCACCTTACCAATCTCCTCAGGACCCATTTCAATCGGCTTCACAACCTTCTGTTTCGAAACCCGAGCTTCGATTTCCTCATACGGCATCTGCCCTGTTTCGATTATCCGATCAAATGCCCAAAACAAACCCTTTTCCTGAATTTCACCATATACATTCCAAAACCTCCCTAAAATCCCAGTTTCCTCCTCTCCAACCTCCACCACCGATTTGTCCGAAAACCCGTTTCCGGGCAAATCAAACGCAACCGCACGAACCCCTTTGGACCCTAAAAATTTAACAACTTTTCGAAAAGAGTAGGAGCTGAGTCCCAGCCCATGAACAATAACAACATTTTCCGATCCCACAGACCCTTTCTCAGTACAAAAAACTTCAACCGGGTTCTGATTCGGGTGAGTTTGTACCTTTATGGTGCGACCCTTGGAGTAGTGCTGGCGGAGAGCGGCTGGCAGGCTCAAAAACCAAGACTTTGGGTCTTGCGGAGAAAGAGAGGAGAGAGAAATGAAGACGACGGTGACGAGAGAGACAGTGAGAGTGCAGTAGAACCAGAAAGCGAATGGATTTTGAGAGTTTTGCGGTGGTTTTGGCGGCGGCGAAGTGCGTTTTGGTGGTGGAGTTGGCTTGATCTCTTCTGGTGACGACCGTTTCGGTTTCGGTTTCGGTTTCGGGTCACGGCGGTGTTGGCCTTCGTTTTCCTCTGTGATGGTCACCATTGAAAAAAGCTTGAAGCTTTCGGGAAATGGGGAGTTCGAATTGAACTGGGATTTCGGTTGGTTTTTTGATCTGCGGATTAGAACTGAAAAGTAAAGTGGGAAAGTAAGAGAGAGAGAGAGAGAGAGAGGGAGCATAAAAAAAAAAGCAGAGGTCCGACTTTTGGTGTGTGCTTTTTCGTTGGAGCTCTCAGGTGAGAAGGAAACGGCATGTCGTTACGCTGTGTATACACATACAGACTGACATTCTCCAAAAGCCCCGCCCTTGACTATCCGAAATTGCACCTCTCCATCTCCGCCAAGCCTTCTTCGGAGCTCCGAAACAAGAGCTCCGGTTCGGAGCCCCGCTCTTTACCTCCATTGCCATAGAAAAACATGCATGCGTGTTAGACAGATGACTTCCAATAATGCCATTATTAATTAAACTAGTTTTTTCTTATTATGGGCAATGACTAGGCAAACACACTTCAATTTTAATGTTGTATTAAGTAAGAAAATTAGGCCACATAAGTTATGATGCTCGGCTGGGAAGAATAGTAGCTAGTGACAACGATAAGCCAGTCAAATATATGAGCTTGTACATGCTGTGCTCCGGAGGCAGTGATATTTATCAAAATTATTAAATTGTTCAATTGAATTAAGTAACGTACTTTGGTATTCCAAGCACTCATAAACTAATTTAGGGCAAAATTACATTTAAGTAAGAGAATGTTATTGGCATTCTACAGTCGTCCTACGCTTTCAATTTATGAAAACATACAGAACAGATACATGAAGGACACGCAAAGATCCTTCTTACTTCTCACACCCTACTCAACATGCCTTGTCTTTGTAACTTTCCATGGCATAGATTTCGAATCCAAAGTTCAATCTTCTTTCATAATCAGTCGTCAACATCGTCATACTTGGGTATGTTCAGTAACATATGGAAGACACAACGTAAAACGAAACATGTAATGCGATGCTTGGTAGAAATCGGGATGATCAATGAAACAAGCAACAGTAATACAATGACGAGGAAGATTGAACCCGTGATGACGACGAATATGGCAAGCCAAGTAAGGTTACTTGTTACCAAAGCAACACCAGCCATGAACGCCACAAGCATCATCGAAAGAGCTAAGCCTAAAATTGGTGGTCCAACTTTTGAACAAGCGTAACTCATATCACCCGTCTGCGCCCACAAAAGACCAATTGCAACAGTGATTGAGCTATACATTGCTATGGTGTTGCATATCAAGAATGTTTGGAATAGCCAATCTGTAACCAAAGTTGACTTGCCTTCGTTGTTTCCAGAGCTCATATATCCACCTGGCATGGTGAAGCCAGCAGTAAAGGTTACAGTGGCTACGAGTGTTGACACCAGTAGGAGATTATTGACAGTCTGTATATGGCTACTAGCGTCCTCGGGGACAACAGAAAGAAATGCTCCCCTTTGCTCCGTGACGTTGAAATAATTAGCTTCCGTTGGCTTTACTTTGGAAGAAATACTCTTCTCTGGAGAACGCGAAGCACTTGCTAATGTCAAGGCCATGACCGTTAGAGGCTGCAAGGAGAAGGAAATTGCAGTTAATTAAGGGAATTGTTCTGAACACTGAGAAAATTCAATCTGCGCTCGTTCAGGAAATAAAATGTGTTGAGGAAATTAGTTACCCGGCGAAGAAACAAGGTTTTTTCGCCCATCAAGGACATTCGTGCAATGTCCATTGCTGAGTGGCCTTCATTGTTCCTAACGCTGAAGTTAACTCTCTTGCTTGATGCCAAAATGCTGACAGTCTTTGGGTACCCTTGCCGTACGGCTAAATGCAGAGGAGTGTTTCCAAATTTATCCTTTTGATTAATCAACTCTTGAAACTCAAACTTGCCAAGAAAATATTTGACCATGTTGTCTCTTCGATGCCACACTGCCGTGTGAAGAATATTCCAGTTGTTTTTGTCAAGTAAGTTCCTCGGAGGTGGGCAATGTTTGAGAAGCAACTCAACAATCGTGATGTGGCCCTTTCTGGAAGCCAAATGTATGGGAGTGAAGCCATTTTTGTCCTCTTTGTTTGCGGCAGCTGAACCTCCGACAGTTGCTAGCACGGTGCTAACAGTTTCAAAGTCATCTATATATGCCCCAAGTGTGAGAGGAGTTATCCCCTCTTCATCCGTTGCCCCGACTAGAGATGAAGAAATGCATAGCAGGACTATGTTTATGATTTCTACAAGAATTTTACGAATAGTTGTGTGAAGAAAAGGAAACAACGATGCTATTTCGACACTCAAAACTGACATACCTGCTAAACACAACCTCTAATAGAAGTGGTGAACCACAACATTGTGTGTTTAGCATCACTTATATATAAAAGTGAAACACAGAAAGAATGGATGTTCGTCAGAAATTAACTATGTTCCTTATTAACCTGGCGCGAATCACTTGGAACTCGGACATAATACAACACTGACGAACTGATCTCCCTTACAATTTCAACAGAAAAAAGGTCAAATAAAATTTGTGGTACACAGAAATTACCTCTGTTCCTTCCTAGAATGGCAGCGCGCAGAACTGAGTTCCCTTCCCATCGTTCCTCTGGAAAATTGTCAAGGGGCAACCGACTAGGTCTGCCAAATATCATATGTTCAAAGAGCTCAACATTCCCAGCTTCAGCAGCCATGGACAAGGGAGTCTTGCCATAAATATTTGGAGAAAACCTCGATTCGTCATTATTAATCAAGAACTTAGCCACCTCTTTTTGGCGATTTTCCATGGCAACGTGCAACGCGGTGTTCCCTCTCGTATTCTTCTCAACCAGTAGATTATAATTGTTAGTTTGGGAAATTTCCACCAGAAAGCTGACCGTAGATAGACGTCCTGCTGTTGCTGCTAAATGAAGTGGAAGGTTTCCTTCATTGTTTTGTTTCAGGACTTGCGACGGATGTAGCTCAGTTATCAGTTTGACACTCCCCAGATCGCCCACACTTGAAGCCAAGTGAATAAAGTAATTCCCAAGGGTGCTTCTCTGTTCGAACATTTCTGACCTGAGCTTTGGTCTTGTACGGTTCGGATCATTGACAGTTGTTGCATGCTCGCGTATTTCACGATCCCTGCATTTGTCAATATTCTCCTCCTCCTCCTCCTCCCAATTCCATTGCTCTGCAGTGTTCACCATCTCGATATCTTCCACGCCGTGCTCATGATCATGAGCAGCACCTTCTTCCATCTTTGCCAAGGTTTCAATGTCTTGTCTTGAACTTGAAGCAGCCATGGTGTATATGCGCGCTACCTCGACCAACTGGCCAAAATAAAGATTGATGGAAACACTATATATAACTCATACCAAGAAAAGAAGAAATTGCGAAGCAAACTAGAGGAGGAGGAAGATGTCCGACTCCGAACTGATGATGCAAGATCTGGTCATACAGTTAGTAAGATGTGTTGTGCTAGGATAACACCAAACCCGTTGGAACCAACTCAAGCTAACCCACGTGAAATTTATCAAATGAAAATGCAAGAACAAAATATTAAAGACATCAAGATTTTAACAAGGTTCCTCAACAGTCAGTGTAACTGGAGTACGTCCTCGGAGCAGTAGGAGCTCACCTAATAATCCACTATCAACCAAATGGGAGTTTACAAAGTGTTGACAATCTCACAACCCAAAATAACCCAATACACCCAATAGCTCTCACACACCAAAGAAACAAATAGAGGAAGAAATATGATGAATAATTTCTTCTCTATACATATAGCTCAACGCTATTACAACAACAACTACTTTGGTGGATGATTACTAACCAAATGAAGCAGCAACTTCTTCTCTCTTTTGGGCTCTCTACAACTCTCCTTGCTCTTGGCAGAAAATGAGCTCACTTACTGAAAATGAGCTCTTCCTTCCTTATTTCTTCTATCCGAAAAAGCCTCATAATTATGGCTTTAAAAAAAAGCCACAAAACATGCCACAAAACAAGGAAACATAATCATGTTGTCATTTCTTTTCTTTTGATTTGTTTAATTGTCCACTTTTTTCTTTATAATTTTTTATAGCCAAAAGTTGGCCACTTGGCCACATACTCCAACAATCTCCACCTTGGCCAAGTTCCGAAATCACCATGATAAGCCAACCAACACAAAAACACTCCCAAACACTAGCAAAAGAACAACTCATGCGGAGCCAAATGCTCCAAAACTCCTACTGCTCAACGTCTTCTTTATATAGGCAAAATATGAGCCAAGTTCAAGCAATGAACAAACTTGGCTACACCAACAACCTTAGTCAACATATCAGCGGGGTTGTCTTTAGTTGGAATCCTCTGGAGAATGATTTCCCCTTCACCAACAATTTCACGAACAAAGTGATAACGCACATCTATGTGCTTGGTCCTCGCATGATGAACCTGATACTTAGCCAAATAAATAGCACTTTGACTATCACAATGTACCTCCATTTGCTTCTGATCAACCCCCAAATCTCTAATCAGCCCATGTATCCAAATGGCCTCCTTTATAGCTTCAGCAACTGCCATATATTCAGCCTCTGTAGTAGACAAGGCAACAGACGACTGCAAAATGGACCTCCAACAAACTGGTCATTTAGCCATAGTAAACACATAGCCTGTAGTACTTTCTTCCATCCAGATCACCTGCATAATTTGAATCAACATAACCAACTGCAAAATGACCAATACTAGAGTCATCTCTCTCAAAGCATAAACCAACATCTCGAGTACCATGGAGATACCTCAATATCCACTTAGCTGCTTGCCAATGCTCTTTACCTGGATTATACATATATCGACTCACCATGCCAACTGCATGAGCAATATCCGGTCTAGAGCATACCATTGCATACATCAAACTACCAACCAAATTTGCATATGATATATTTTTCATTTGCATGTTCTCTTTATCAGTTTTAGGACACTATAGAGAACTCAATTTAAAATGAGGAGCCAAAGGAGTACTAACCGGTTTGGTTGAATCATGAACTCCAAACTTCCGAATCAACTTCTCAAGGTATTGTTTTTTATTCAAACTAACCAAACCCTTCGCTCTATCTCTAGTGATCTCCATGCCAAGGATCTTTTTTGCTTCACCAAGATCTTTCATCTCAAACTCATTTTTCATTTGCTTCTTCAATTTTTCAATCTCTTCAACATTCTTTGAGGCAATCAACATATCATCAACATATATCAACAAATAAATGAAAGACCCATCTTGCAACTTCTTGAAGTACACACAATGATCATATTGACTTCTAGAATAATTTTGGCCTCTCATAAATTTATCAAACCTCAAATACCATTGCCTTGGAGATTGCTTCAAGCCATAAAGTGATTTCTTCAATTTGCAAAACAAATTCTCCTTCCCTTTTACTATATACCCATCCGGTTGACACATATAAATCTCTTCATTCAAATTACCATGTAGGAAAGCCGTCTTCACATCAAGTTGCACAAGCTCAAGATCATATTGTGCAACAAGAGCTAACATAATGCGAATTAAGGAGTGCTTCACAACCGGAGAAATGATTTCATTGTAGTCAATGCCCTCCTTTTGTGCATACCCTTTAGCAACTAATCTTGCTTTGAATCTCACATTGCTTTCTCATCAGCATCTTCCTTCTTGGCATACACCCATTTGCAACCGATAGCTTTCTTGCCTTTAGGCAATTTAGCTAACTCCAAAGTCTTGTTCTTCAAGAGAGAATTCATCTCATCACCCATGGCATTGCACCACCTCTCCTTCTCCTCACTCTCAATGGCTTCCTCGAAATTGGATGGAATATCATCAATGATAATATGAAGAACAAAAGCAACATAGTCACTATACCGAGCTGGCTTGGTAATTTGTATCTTTCCTCTGTTCTTGGCAATAGACTCTTGAGGTGAAACTTGCTCTTCAACTTGAATAGAATCTTCAAGTTCAACTTCTTCAACATCCTCATGGTCTCCAACTTCTTCACTTGTAGTGGCTTCGACATCAGCGGAAATAGGATTTGAAGTACCAGAAGCAACTTTCTCAAGCTCCACCTGTTGGACATCTTTCACATTCTTCTCAGAGACTTTGTACATACTTTCTTCATCAAATGTCACATCTCTGCTGATTACAAGTTTTTTCAATTCTGGGCACCACAACCTGTAACCTTTGACACCACTACTAAAACCAAGAAAGATAGCCTTTTTGGCTCTAGGATCAATTTTATTTTCAGTCATATGAAAATAAGCAGGTGAACCAAAAATACGGATATAGTCATAATCAGAAGAAGGTTTTCCAGTCCATATCTCCATTGGTGTCTTACCCTGAACAGCAGCTGAGGGTAACCGGTTGATGATGTGACATGCATAATTAACTGTTTCTGCCCAAAATGACTTGCTTAAACCCGACTGAGACAACATACATCTAACCTTCTCAAGCAAGGTTCGATTCAATCTTTATGCAACTCCATTTTGTTGTGGAGTTCCCCGAACACTAAAATGTCTCACAATTCCTTCCTCTTTGCAAACTTTAAAGAAAGGGTCGGATGTGTATTCACCACCATTATCCGATCTCAAAATCTTAATCTTTCTCCCAGTCTAGTTCTCAACCATTTTCTTCCAACTCAAGAAAATGCTCAATACCTTACTCTTGTGCTTCATAGTGTAAACCCAAGACCTTCTTGAATAATCATCAACAAAGGTCACGAACCAATGTCTACCACTCAAAGATGGAGTCTTTGTAGGACCCCAAACATCCGAATGCACATAATCAAGAATGCCCTTCGTCTGATGTACAGCAGTACCAAACTTCACTCTAGTTTGCTTCCCCAAGACACAATGCTCGCAGAAATCAAGCTTACAAGTCGTGGCACCTTTTAGAAGACATTTTTTCACAAGCCCTTGTAAAGCTTTCTCACCGGCATGGCCTAATCTCATATGCCACAATCTAGTAGTATCTGAATCAGATGTGCCCATATTTTCAGAGACTACAGATGCTTCACCTGTCACAGTGCTTCCCTGCAATAAATACAAATGGCCACATCTAGGAGCTTTCATCGCAACAAGTGCACCATAAGTAACTTTCAATGTCTGTCCATCTGAATGAAACCTGAAACCCTTGGATTCCAAAGTACCCAAAGAAATAAGATTTTTCTTCAAATTCGGTACATACCGAACACCTGTCAGCTCTTTAACCATGCCATCATGCAACTTCAAACGAACTGTACCAATCCCTTTTGTTGTGCAAGGATTGTCATCTCCCATGAACACAACGCCACCATCAAACTCTTTCAAGCTTGAAAACCAATCCTTGTGAGGAGTCATATGATGAGTACAACTCGTATCCAACACCCACTTAGTAGCACAATCAAATGATGAGGAAGTGGTTAAAGCAAAATCAGAAAAATCTGTTTCAACCTCAGCAACATTAGCTTCAGAACTTTCTTTGCCTTTGGTCTTCAATTTAGGACAATCTTTCTTCCAATGGCCCTTATTACGACAAAAGGCACATTCATCCCTTTCCAAAGGTTTTCTACCTTTAGAGTTTCCTCTAGGTCGAGACTGTGATTTTTTCCTACTAGAAGATGATCTCTTCTCCGATGATCTACCTCTAACAAATAAAACTTCAGAGGTACTATCATGATGTTTATCTCTATGCCTCATTTCATAATTCATCAAGGCATTTGACACATCTTCAAATTTCACAATTTCTTTACATGCATAATAGTGGTAACAAAATGCTCATAAGAGTCCGGCAATGAATTCAACAATATTAAGGCCTTATCTTCATCATTAATATCCTCATCTAAATTTAACAAGTCGGCAATCAACTTATTAAAAGCATCAAGGTGTCTAATCATTTTTGTACCTTCTTTGTATTGGAAGCGGTAGAGCTTTTTCTTCAAGTGTAGCCGGTTCTCTGCACTCTTTGTCATATACTTGTCTTCCAATTTTTGCCACAACACACTTGCTAATATCTCCCGCATCACAAAATACTTCTGAGTTTTTGCAAGGCACAACCGAATTGAAGAGCAAGCCCACAAATTTAATTTTTCCCATTCTGGCTTCGACATAGCTTCCGGCTTCTCTCCCAAAGCGGCAAGTAGATCTTGTTGAGCCAACACATCTTTGACCTCACATTGCCACATCCCGAAGTTGTTTGTGCCATCAAACTTTTCCACTTCTAACTTTGCATTTTGCACCGTAGTTCTTGCAAACCCGGAGCTGCTTCCAAAAGGATTCTCATCTTGCCCGTCTGACATCTTTGGCAACTAGACAGTACCCAAGAGCAACCAGTGCTCTGATACCAATTGTTGTGCTAGGATAGCACCAAACCCGTTAGAACCAACTCAAGCTAACCCACAGGAAATTTATCTAATGAAAATGCAAGAACAAAATATTAAAGACACCAAGATTTTAACGAGGTTCCTCAACAGTCAGTGTAACTAGAGTAC